CTAATATGTTACAGTCTGGAAACGGGGGGGTTGATCTGAGACACAGCTAAAAAAAGAGGGCGGGGCTTGTGGAGTTACAATAAGGAGGAATTCAAACCAAAATATTGCAGTTCCACTTCATAAAGACCCCAACTGAATGATTTAAATGTAAAAAAAAGAAGGATTTAAAAGCATATGTCTCCTTTAAATGTGCAAAATAAATAAATAAATAAATTGGATTGGACTTCAGGCTTTGCACTACAGAATAGGAGGACTGGAAGACAGATTAATAAAACAAGTCACGATACCTTTAAGTAGTAGTATCCCACTACACACAGGAAAGAAATGATAGTGTGTAATATCGCCAAACAGCAAAGCGTTGGCGCCATGTAGCCGGTGCTTTCCTGCAGGACAAAACACTCGAGCGCTCCTTCTTCCTCCTCCTCTCCCGTTCTACCTCTGCGGCTCCAGGGGTCTTCATCCTCTGAGTAATCACCAGTCACCTGAAAGTCCGTTTTTAACAAAAATAAAACACATCCAGCAACGTGAAAACCTCCCTTTAAACTGCATACTTGAAAACAAACGTACCTTGTAGAAGAGAAGAATGAAGTTGATCGCAAAAGCAACAAACAGGGCTAGGAAGCGGAGGTTGTAGAAATTTCTTGCCAAGTAGTTCTGCGAAAAGACAAGACTATTGTATAAAAACAACAATGGTGTTAACAGGAATGAAATAAAGGATTTAAAATATTTTTCTCCTCTTTTTATGAAGACTTTTTAATCTTTGATGTCAGATAAATTCTAACTGAATAAGAAATCTAAATTTTGCATACTGCATAAATTTAATCTATGTAAAAAATAAAATTTAATAAGGCCACCAGTTTCCTTCTAACTTCACTCACAGTTTTATGCATCATGTAAGTTTCATGTTAGTGTTTATTAAATCCACAAAATGATGATTATGATTTAGTTCTTTCTACCCTCACAATGATCCGCCCTGCCAAACAAAAATATTTCTAACTAAACCCTCATTAAACTGGCACTGCATATATGAAGAAAAAATGTAACCTTTAGAATATTGATTTAGGTGCATAAGATACATACATATTCATTTAATAAAATAGCACATCACTGGAAAGATTAAGTTCAAACAAAAATCTAATATTTTATGAAGTAGGCCCAAGTATGAAGTGCTCTGGGGGAATCATCTGACCAGCATCTTAGTTTGATAGATTTCCAGGCCAGCCAAGAAGCTGGCCATGAAGGCCTCTGGTGGCTCTTTTCTCAGACCGAGCCTCTTCTTCGGGGCTCTCTTCTCCTCCATTGAGGGCTCTGGGGGGGCTTCATCTTTGGCCTTGTCRTGGTCTTTTTTCTCTCCATCTTCCGAACTATAAGCAGAAATTCTGTTAGTGACAGTTTGGGTGTAAAAACAGACTTATCCTTGCAGCCTAAAAGTTGTTGGACTTGGTTAAAACTTCTAACATTTTTAATGCTTGAATCTCTTTTACTGGATATAAAAAGTTGCAGCGGTGACACAAAGTGCACTCACTCTCCTTTCTCTGAATCAGATTTGTAGTCTCCATTTGTAGAACTCTTCTTAGCAGCCATCTGTTGCAAAAATCAGGATTTTTAGGTCTTTTCTTCTCTGCATTTACATATCAAGATTAAAGTTATTTTATTGTGTTTACCGACCTGGGCCTTTTTCTGCGTGACTGCACTGGCTATTGAAGGAGTGTCTCCCACCACCACCTCTGACACGTCCCCCAAACCCGGCTCAGTCCCATGCTTGCCCTCCCTTTTGGGCTGTATGTTGAGCAGCTCGGCCATCAAGTCGGCCTCGGCYGCATCACTCTGAGCCAGCTGACCCATCTCTTCCAACGTCAACGCTTCACTTGCTTCCATCTTTTCTGTCTCCAGAATGTCTCCGTGGATTCCAAACTGAGTGGGGTCGGGCATGTTTCCTAAAATGTCCGTCACTTTCATGTTCTTCGCTCCTTCGACGAGGCCGCCCCCGAACAGAGTGGTCCACAGGATGTGAAAGAAACCCCAAACAAAGTTGTAGACGAAGTGRAAGAAGCCTGTGATGATGATCCAGAAGAAGGAAAAGAAGCCCCTCACCATCTCCCTCACACTCATCTTCCTGAACTTCCTGCACTGGCGCCTCATGCTCTTGAGGGTCAGCAGCTGCCGAAAATTACAGAGGCTCTTTCTCATTGAGATGCAGGCAACGGTGAACGCAGAGGAAGACTCCATCGTCATGCCCTCTTCCTCTTCCTCCTCTTGGTTCTCCACCATGCTCTGGCTCTCGTCCTCGTCCTCGTCCTGGTGCTCGACGGGGTCCGGCTCCGAAATCTGAGAAGCCAGCTGCATCTCAAAGATGGTGTCCTCGCAGAAGTTGACAAACAGCTCCATCTTCTCGCTCTCCCCGCCCTCGTTGACCACGTCGAATATGAACTGCCGCTTCGACTCCTTCACCTGGGGCTTCTCCCACTGCGTGCGACTCGACTCGCTGATCTCAAAGTAGACCCTCTCGATGCGCTTGGCGCCGCCCATGATCTCGATGCGGCCCAAGAACGGCTCGAAGTAGCTGAGGACGCTTTCGGCGAGATTGAGGAAAGTGGACAGGCGAGCGTCATGGGGCATGTGCTCCGAGAGGTTTGTTAGCAACACGGCTACATTGAAGCCGATGTCCTTCGCTGGCTCGTGAAATCTCTCCACAAACTGTTTGTAGCTGAACATGTCGTTTTCATCAGCCTCGGCACAGGAGAGGAGGAACTCAATCTCAGACTGGGTGTACTGTTTCTGGTTCTCCATGGACTTCTGAAAATCCTTTTTGGAGATGACCCCTTTGCTCTCGGAGTCGTACTCCTTGAAACTATCCGAGGTGGTCAAGTCTTTCAACTTGAGGAACATGTCAAAAAATTTCAGAATCATCTCCACATTGCTGGAAGATTCCACCAAGGTGTCCACCATTTGTTTACCAATGGTTCCGTTCACAACGTTACCTGTGAAACAACAGAAATGTTCAAAAAGCAGTTTGTGAGTAAACATACGAACAGGCAACATTACCTGCGCAGTATTATTCCTGAAATTTACCRACCTTCTAGGAGAGACAGCATCATGACAATCATGTCCTGCTGCAGGTCTAGGAGCTCCTTCAATAATTCAATCTGACTGGAGTCCTGTTGGGAATTAAGACAAAGAGAAAACGTCTCACACAAACCACTGACAGCCTCCCAGGATGGATTATTTGAACAGGATTTTAACAGATCAAGGCCTTCTCAGTTTCTGCTGGGGCCCAGAAGGTCCCTCTACATAACATCCATCCATCATCACCAGGGTTGATGTTATTTCACTGTCTGAGAGCAGATGGCTAGGTCAGTCTGACTCATTTAGGGTCTCTATGGATCCTGTATTGAATATCCCATAACTCTAAACCTAACTTGGATGAGCTAAATTTAACCCCTCCACCTGAGATCTCTCTCATCCTGGCTGCTACTGTCAATCCCTAATCTACTGTGATGACTGTGAGATAAAGTTAGGAGGATATTTTTTTTCCTCCAACATTGTTTAATTGGTCGTATCATAGAAGGAGTCACRTATCAGTGAGCTAAATGAAGCAGCTTGAAGTCATTCTTGAAGCTGCAGTGCCCTCTAGTGGCATCAGTGGTGTTCAGATTTTTCATCAAGGCAACAATAAGGAGGAATGACTCCAAAATTAGTTTATTAGTTTAAATTTAAATTGAGACTTTGACTGAGAATTAATGATAGTTTCAGATTTAAAGGGTTAAAGTAGCAAATTCATACAGTTTTTATAAACCACTATAAGTCGAAGAACAACCAGAACATGTGTATAAAAAGTAGGGCTGTGAAATTAATTGAGTTAACACTGATTAATTTTATTGATGCATGGGCATAGATTAAAAATTTTAATCGCGATTAATCATGATTAAAATTTACACTCACTTTACTTTGGCTGAATATGTAGGTTTGTATATTGCAATGCACTCAGTGCATGCCAGGTCATRTTTGTAAATGAGAAGTGGTTCTCAAACAGTTTACCTGGATAAATAAAGGTTAAATAAAAAAATAAACTCCATGTGTAACACATTATGTACAGTTTGTTTTTCTTTTTGTCTTCTTATGGCTTATTTTCTTTTATTTATTTATGTTGACAACTGTGATCTTAATATCTATCTTTCACTCCTCATGTTCATTTGGAATGAAAATCCTTGAATTCTTGATTTAACCTCATTATTCTGCACAAAATTTAACTGACTCAAATATGTTTGGGGCATTTTTTAGTCCTGATTTTTGTTGTTTTTGTGCAATCGAGGTGATATTTTCATGATTTATTACTGTTGTATGTATTTCTTAAGCACCAATTTTTTTCCAAAATAAAGACATTAATTAATAACTCAAGTAATTTATTTTACCAGTATGCAATAAAGTTTTACATTAAGTTTAAGATTAATCGTGATTARTTCACAGCTACCTTGGAATTAATAGATTAAAAATTTTAATCATTTGACAGCCCTAATAAAAAGACAAAAACTTTTAAAGGGGGGTATTATGCAAAATCTTTTTTTTTCAGCTTTACATCATGTTATAATGTTATTCCCTCATCAAAACCATTCCCAAGGCGTTGCTTTGACTCATTCATGCATGTTTGAGAAATCACTGAATCTCCTCTGGTAGCCATGTGGAGCTGCCTGAACGCTTGCTGGTACAAACAGTTGCTTATTTGTACCTAGCTCCTCMCTGTAGCCCRGTCCACAGCTGAGCTCCCGCCCCCACACAGCTCCACCACTAGCACTGCAACAATTAGCAAACACCTGGTGGCACTGCACAGCTGTATGACTTCTAAGGATGTCATGGTTTATCAAAATGGTTGGACTTATAAACGGCATAGTGAAGATGTATTGAAGTGAGAGGTTCTTAAAGCAACAGAGGCCAATTTCAACGTGTTTAGATGCAAAGTCAAATTTATTTTTGATATATACAGCATTTACATAACAAGTGAAGGTAACGGTTACTTGATTGTGGTAAATAAAATAACCATGTGCCTGAAAACTACATAACACCCCCCTTTAAACAACAGAAACAATGTGACAAACTTATCTAAAAGTGTTTTTATATAAATTTGCTGCATTTACTTAAACACAAAGCACATACCTGGGATAACTTCATCTGCATGTTGGCAAAAACATGCAGGAAACCCACCACTGCATCCCACAGCCTACTGTGAGCCAGACTCTGCTGATTACCTATGCATGGACCCTGAAAGGCATGGAATGGGGAAACAGCTGAAATATTCTCTTAATATAAAAGAACTGACAGCTTTATTTATCTAGTGATAGTGACATTCTAACTGTGGAGCAGTGTGTTGTCACAAAGTACCTGAATATATTCCGTTAATGAGTTGAAGACCTGTTTAGCGACCGCYAGAGCTTTAGAGAAGTTTCTCTGCCCGGCCTCATCAATGACGTCTTTCCCAGAGTAGTACCAGTAGAAATCACTGATGGATTCCTAATTAAAAAGTGGCAAACAAGACTTTTATATTCTTTATTTCTTTTAGAAATACGGAAGATCTTCCTATAACAATATGATACCTGGAGTCTTAGCAGGTAATCRACTGTGCTGATGATGATATTGACTGTAGTTGTATTCCCTGTCTGAGTTCTCAGGAAATTTTGAAAATCTAAAACACAGGTACAAAATTTTTGAGGATTAAGTGCAACTTACTCCACCTACATGACACAACACAATCTTTTACAAATAAATAAACATTTAGCCRTAATGTCTATAAGTCTGATGTCCACCCACCATTATTGTGACCTTCACACAGAAGCTGCAGAAACCTAAAGAGATCCTTGGTAAACTCGTCATTTTGCAGAACTTTGGAACCTGAAAACAGGAAAAGAGATMACTTGTGTTTTTTAGTAACAGGATGGGCAGACACTCACGACTTTTTATGCGTACACAGGCATCAGAGCTTGCTTAGCTTTTGTCTCCTTATCAAGCTGCTGTCTTGTTGTCAAACAGTCCTAAATGATATGCATCACACTGTTTAGAGCACAAACAAAAGGTCAGGTGCATCGGTTCAAAATTAAATGTTAAAAGAATACACAGCTTTGTTGGTTGCTTGGTTGCTTATAGCAACAAAGCTTTTGAGGATTTAGTTCTAAAGGCTTGTTAGTAGGACAAAATATAGAAAGGTCCTAAAAACAACAAGCAATGGCTTCTTAGAGAGGAAGGAAAACGATTTCAGTCAACTTTGGAAGCCTGATCGCAGACTAATGTCAAAAGAGCAAGCATGCATTATTTTCAGTCCAGGGTACAAATACAGAGGCTATACTGGCATTCATAAAAAAAGGAGGAGGAAAAGGGAAAAGAGGAAGAAGGGTGCAGGGCGAAGAGCAACCAAGATGTCAGCATTGCATAAAATGAGTAGAATCTAAACCGTGTATTTACCCCGCTCACTCACGTTGACTGCGACCGATGACATTAAAACATGATCAGAAGGAAACAAAGAAACAAAACAAAAGCAGACATAAGCAAAGGAGAAGACATTTAGATTCAATCAGAAGAAGTAGGAACAGGGAAACAAAATGATCGGACTGCAGATATATAATTTACAAACACTGATTTGCGACAATGACATAAAGTGACAATTCTCAGTCTTGATGTACGGTCTGCTCTCTAGGCAGGTGTTTAGAGGTTAGACAAAGTATTAGTTACCATCACTTATGTATGCCTTATCTCATGAAGTGAAAATGGGCTAAGGGCATGTATGAGAAAAACATAATTATACTGTACTGTATGCAACCCATCAGTTTGATTAGTTCATTGTGTTTGTGAATATAAGAATTGTTTTCTTTTGAAGTCGCTGTAAGTTTGTAAGACCCAGACAGGACTTGGACATACAGTAACGCAGGCTCACCTGCAGGATGACATAACACAAAACAATGAACAAATGAGATGGAGATGAACTTCAGCGGTAAAAAAATAAAAATAAAAAGCAAATCTTTCTGTTGAGTTAATACTATGTCATTATTGCCGTTTTCTTACGAGTTATCGTGGAATAGGAGGAGACAAGTCAGGTCAAAAAAGCTTTAATTAATCGCAGATTTTCAATCGTGACACAAACGTACTGCGGTATATTTTATTCTTCCGTAGTAAACTGGCAAATCTGCTGTTTGTTACTAAAGTAGGGGAAAAAGTCAGCTGTTCTCAGAGTTTACTGTAGTTTTCATCCTCACTTACTTGATCCCTCTTCAGTAACCATCCCCAGACCTTCAGCTTTGTTTTGCCTTTCAAACGCATTCAAATCCAGAACACTGTAATTAAAAAAAAAATCAAAACGGAGACATGCTGAATTTCATTATTTCTACAACCTATACTTAAAAAAGAGCACCCCAATGATATTACCATCGGGTTCAAAAGACAAATGTGAAAAAAATCTCTAAGGTTTTCTTGTTGAAAGAAAGAACAAATATTAGATTAACATCTCTGTTGTGTCTGTATCTGATACAACCTCTGATTAAATGTTCATAATTGTGYTCATATTTGAAATTTTCTCTATCATATTGACTTAGAAAGCAGATGAAACAAACAAAATGAGGCCATTTTTCACTATTAGTCCAATTTTAGCCAAATATTTTCATATTTTATTATTTCTCTCATTCGGAACATATTGTCTGCTAAAAATCTCTGGAAGATTTGCTCCACTTTAGCAAAAAGACCCCAAAAAACTATTTTTCTGCATGTGCCAAGTACAACACGTGGATTAAATTGGTGTAGACACAAAAAAAAATCCTATTTAACATCATGGCTGATTTACCTGCACGACATCATCAGTCCAGACAAGCTCTTGAAAAAGCCAACATCTCGTTTTTCCTTCAGATAGTCCAGCATTTTCTGCATCAGAATAAAAGTATGATTAATGGTGAAGCTAAAATTATTCATTCTTCAACACATAAAATGCTGCAGACCTGCTGGACCAGAATGTTTCCCCCGTTGAGAACAGAAATACCCAGTTTGAGGGTAAACGTCACAGTAGCACCAAGACGACCTGAGAAGACACGTCATAAGGTAGAGTGAGCAAAGCTGGCCGCTGCAGAACGAAACACCGATGATCCGTGTTTGTTTTCCCACCTTTGCTGGCACTGATCATCTGCAGCACCATCTCTGCTGCTCCCCGATCGTGCARTCGGGCTTGCTGATACAGCATCTTTTGTTTCTCCATTTCCTTTTCCTGTTGGACATCAGTAAATGCAACATTTCTCAATATGATTTAGAATGAAAAATACAAAGGTGTTCGCTCAGAGTGGTGTTAGATTACCTCAAAYGTTTTCTCTTTTCCTTCTTCCTCTTCTTCACCTTCAGCACAACTCTGAAAGAAAGAAAAGACATTTGTAAAATTGACCAGAAAAACACTCAAGAAATTTGCTTTAGGAAATGTACATTTTTGGTAGCTTTGTTGTATGTTTACAGCGGCTTTGAAATGAGTTACCTTTGCCATCATATCTGCATAGGCAATATACAAAGGATCTTCTGCCAAAGAACTAAAAAAAGGTAGAACACAATCTGATTAGATTGCATCTGTAAAAAAATAAAAATAAAAAGATGCAGCCATACATTTATGACACCATTTTTTAAACACAAAGCTAAAAACCTTTTTAAAATATGGTGAATTTATGGCTAATGCTCTTTATCAGCTGAAAACAAGAGCCAAAACAAGCCTGGTTGACAGATGGAGCAGCTTGCCCTGGTGCCAGATGGCCAGGTGTGAGTATGAGTGTGTATTTTACCTGCACTCAGTCAGAGCGTTGTGGCTGAAATGCAGAATAAGCTGGTGAAGAGGGTCGGGCTGCTTTCTGATCTCCTCCTCCTCCTCTTCTTCCACTTTAGGCTGCGTTTTCTAAACAAAGCCGTAGGAATCAGCAGTGCAGGCGAGACAGATACTGTTGTGTGCACATTAACATAAACTCTTGGTGCAGCAGGATTTCAATGTCTCTTTGTGGAGGTAGGTTTGAGCAGGAAAAGATAATCAAAAAGCATGCAGTYACTTTAGATGCACATTCCAATACATGAATGTATCACAGATGATCGTGTCCAGCTGTGTTAAATATGACTGGAGTATGAATGTAACTGTTCTGTCACCTGTAGCTTTATGAAAAAAATACTTAGTTTAAATTAGGGATGCACGATATATCGGTATTAATATCGGTATCAGATGATATTGRTCCTTTTTTAGAATATCGTATCGGTCTGATGTSTAAAACTGGGCCRATATTAACGTCCGATATTGATTTCCYACKTTTTAKMTTTGTGTTTCTGTTTTGGGAGGGGARATGTTTGGTTGAGTGGCATCTGTTTGATCACGATAGTGATGTTGATGCTGTGTAGCCATGAATAACTGAAGTAGGGAGCCATGTCAGAGGTCTGGTTGTTTATTTACGTATCAAAAAAAAAGACCCAAGTGTGTTTGTGTGTATATGTATAATACAATTTGTGTATTTGTGTAATATCGGTAAATATCGGCTATCGGCCATAACAGCAATAATTATATTGGACATCGATATCGGCTGAAATTTTCATATCAGTGCATCCCAAGTTTAAATGTCTATAAATACTGTTGAATGTCAATTTTTTTGTTGTTCTTTTGATTGTGTTAAGGTTTAATCAAATGATTATGCATACATTATAAGTATGCATGCAGTAGGTTGCCAGTTTATAAATGAATAAATAATAATATATTTACTTGTTTATATACACTCACCGGCCACTATATTAGGTACACCTGTCCAACTGCCCGTTAACACTTAATTTCTAATCAGCCAATCACATGGCGGCAACTCAGTGCATTTAGGCATGTAGACATGG